TCTTTCCTCTTCACCCACCATTAAAATTTTAGATCTTATGTGGAACCTCACTCAATAAATAAAAACAATACTTTCTTACTATACATTTATTTTTATAAATTTAAATGTATAGCATCTGTTTATAAGGTGATGAAGGCAATTAGGTCATTTCGATGGAAACCAAACTTTGGAATTAGAGGCTATGAGTGACTGTCAGCTTCAGTGACTTTTGTATTTTGCTTTGGTTCTGGAATAATGAGAATGCCTTGAGTCACACACAAATAGGTGCAAATGATCATTTTTTTAAAAATAACATTATTTATTTATTTATAATTTGGCGAGAGAGAGAGAGAGAGAGCAAGCTGACAAGTTCAGAACTTGAACCATGGTCAGCCATGTGGGAGTCCAGCACCTTAACTACAATGCCACCTGCTGGCCCCCAAATGATCATTTTTAAACTGTCCATCTTGTAATCTCAGTTTGCTCTTCAATTCAGTAGGAAATACAATAGAAACTTTATTCTGAGGTTTGTACAAAAAAGGTTTATCTGGAAGCACATGCCAATGGATTGATGATCTCTAGCATGGTAACTTGTGAGTTTGTGTGTTGTTTTTATCATAATTTTTTAATAACTTAGAAGTTCAAATCAAATATGTATAGAAACCCTACATTGCTTCCCCAGAACTATGGACTTCTAAAGAAGGTGGTTTGAAAACCATCAGCAATGGAAAATAACCAGAATCTAAATAGACAAATTGGGGGACAGTCTAGGAACAAAGACAGGAGAAAAGACTTAAAGGCCAGAATGCTCAGGGCAGATGAATATGTGGTTGGAGAGTTTGAGATATGGCCTAGGTCAGACTGGCAGGATCTTGAATTTAGTCCTTATTCTATAAGCTGTGAGAGGCATTGATGATTTTCAATCAACGCAATCAATCATGTAAGAATGACATGTACTTAAAGAATCATAACAGCACTTAAAGAAGATTAATCTTACTGTGTTTTGTAAAATGATCTAGTAAGGCTGTTCAGTACTCCAAACTAGAAATGCCCAGAGGCTGAGCTTACATGGTTGTGGTGGTAATAGAAAGGAGGAGATGACTATGACCAAGATGGAGGATGGAGAGGCAGTAGGCTTTTCCAAGACTGCAAGAGAGAGAGAGAACAGAGCTAAGCATGTATCAAGGTATCCAGCCTGGGTGACTTGGAAAGTAGTTACCATAGACAGAAACAAGAGTAGAACAGACAGGTGAGGTGAGAAGTAGACTATGCTGAGTTTGAGAGGCCTGTAGGACATCCAGCTATGCTTTGAAGAATAGAGAAGCAGAAAGAGGACCCAGATACCTAGTAAAGCCTTGGGCTGAAGACTGATATTGACGCTTGAGTCTTTCTGAGCTGAGAACTCAAAATTAGCTGTCAAGAGTTGATGCTTGAGGGACCAGCAATTAGCTTAATGGCTATGTCGTTGGACTCCCACGTAGTCGACTGCGGTTCACGTCCTGGACCCGCGGGCTTAAACTCACGCTGGGCATGTGTGTGTGCATGCCCAAGATCCCGAGAGGAGAATGGAGGAGAAGGGATTGCGGCGTGGCCATCCCCCCAGGGGGTGACTTACCGCTTTCTGTCTCTCTGTCTCTCTATGTCTGTCTGGTGAGCGCACGTGCCCTATAGCAAAAACCTCTCAAAAAAAAAAAAAAAAAAAAGAGTTGATGCTTGAGCATGTATTCACTTTAAGAAGTGGAACCTTGACCTCTCTGATCACAGTAGTTCACCTACTTGGCCATCTCGCCATACGTATGCCTTTCCTTCCCTACTTTCCACTTCCATCAGACTGAGCTCCAGCTGGCACAGCAGGAGAACCGTCACTTAAATTTGGAGCTGCAGGAGGCCAAGGGCCGGCAAGAGGAGCTGGGGGCTCAGGTCCAGCGACTGAAGGACAAGGTGGCCCAGATGAAGGACACACTAGGCCAAACCCAGCAGCGGGTGGTGAGTGAAGGGTAACAGGAATCAGTGACTGTTTCAAGGGCTAGTTGTAGAAAAGTCTGGGTGGCCAGAAAGAAGGGGAAAAGATAATGGCTAAAGACTATGAACGACACAATCCTGAGTCCTGATGCCGCAGGGGGACATGTGAGTCTGCTTCTTCCCTAGTTCACAAATATTTCACTGGGAACTCTGATCACCATCTCCTTTCTTTTGAGGTTGAACTGGAGCCCCTCAAGGAGCAACTTCGAGGGGCCCAGGAGCTTGCAGCCTCAAGCCAGCAGAAAGCTGCCCTTCTTGGGGAAGAGTTGGCCAGCGCGGCAGGAGCGAGGGACCGCACCATAGCCGAGCTGCACCGCAGCCGCCTGGAAGTGGCTGAGGTCAACGGCAGACTGGCTGAGCTCAGCTTGCACTTGAAGGAGGAAAAATGCCAGTGGAGCAGGGAAAGGACAGGACTGCTCCAGAGTGTGGAGGTAAAGGAATGGGGAACCTGGAGTCTCAGAGCCACCAATCCCACCTCCATGGGGACCCCACATGTGGTCAGACCCTCTGGAAGAGGAGAAGAGAGGAGAAGAGAGGGGAGGGGAGGGGAAAGGAGGGGAGGGGAAGAGAACCTCAAGGACTTAGAGAGGGGAGGGGCCTTGAGGGAAGTACACTTTTACTTTGCAGGTATGACCCATCCCTAACCAGGGTATCCTGTAGGTGCTGGCACCATAGCGCTTTCCTTGGTGACTGTCCTTGGTGCAGAAATGTTCCCTGTCTTAACCACCAAGCTGTGCCACAGTGCCCATCCTAGTTAGCACAGCACCTTGCCTTCATGTCCCATCCTCTTCACGAGGTATAGGACATGAGGAAGGCAAGGAGAGAAATTGCTCCACAAACAATTCAGTTAAATAAAGAAAGGCATGCACTGCGGGTGGTGCTGCCGCCAGTGGCATCCCTTTTCCTTCACCGCTGCTGTCCTGTTTCCTATATGGCATCCCACAGGCAGAGAAGGACAAGATCCTAAAGCTGAGTGCAGAGATACTTCGATTGGAGAAGGCCGTTCAGGAGGAGAGGACCCAGAATCAAGTGTTCAAGACTGAATTGGCCCGGGAAAAGGATTCCAGCCTGGTGAGCCGCCCCCACCGCCACGGGTCCTGTCCTGAGGCCTCCTAAAGCATCAGGGCCCCTTCTCTCTGTCCTGGGCCTGGGCTCAGAAGCACTGGCTGCTCACTTCTCTGTTGAGCAGCATCTCATTGCTCACTTCCCAGCCCTCTCGGTCGCTCCCCCTTTCTGCTCTCAGGGCACACATCTAGGCCCAGTGAGGAGTTTATTATAGAGTGTGCCCGTGCTAGGGCCAAGGTCTCTACATGCCAGTCTGCAGGTTAGCATCCAGGTCTGTAGCTGACAAGCAGAGTAGGACTACTCTTTTTTTTTAATTATTTTTATTTAACTTTATTGTTATTACTATTATTATTTTTCAGTTTGATCAGACAGAGAGAGAAAGACAGAAAGTGAGAGAGCAAGCTGCCAGGTCCAGGACTTGAACCACTGTCGGCCATGTGGGAATCCAGTGCCTTTAACCATCACGCCACCTGCTGGTCCCCAGAGTAGGACTCTTAACAGCTGAGTCTCTGTGGCCAAGACAAGACTCATGGAGGAAGGTGTTGGAGTTTTCCCTGAATGAGTCCCTCAAGAAAGGAGCACATGAGACCAGCAGATGGCGTAATGGCTACATCACTGGACTCTCATGTAGTTGACCACAATTCGAGTCCCAGACCTGGTGGCTTCGGCCCACACCAGGCACATATGCGTGCATGCCCAAGATCCCTAAAGGAGAATGGAGGAGAAGGGATTGTGGTGTGGCCATCTTCCCTGGGGGGTGATTTCCTCACTTTCTGTCTCTCTGTCTTTCTGGCGAGTGCACACCTCTATAGCGAAAACCTCTCCAAAAGTAAAAAAGAAAAGCATACACACATGGGGTTCTAGAGTGTTTCAGGTCTCAGAGCCCAGGTTCTTGCAGGCTCATTCCAGGCTCCAGATTCCATCTGACCCCTTTCTCTCAGGTGCAGTTGTCAGAGAGTAAGCGGGAGCTGACCGAGCTGCGGTCAGCCCTGCGTGTGCTCCAGAAGGAAAAGGAGCAGCTACAGGAGGAGAAGCAGGTGAGAACCCATAACTTGGGTCCTGGATGCCAGAGCTGAGGACTTGAGGACCAGAAACTATACTCTTGTCATCTCTTGACTTAGAAACTGGCATGTCTAAGAGGGCCCAAAAACTAAAAAAGAGCCATGGCTCCTCTAATTAGCTGATTCGGCCTGTCAGAGAGGATGGCTAAGAGAGGGAGGTGGATAGGGGGTGAATGGCGGCTCCTGAGGGAAGGAATCTCCGTTAAGTTGCCCCGTCCTTTGGTGAAGGCATTTAACCCTGCGCAGCTGTCTGTTTTGGACAATGGAAAGATTCTAGGCCAGCAAGGTTGGCGTCTTCCCAGCCTCTAGCACCAGCCTCTTTCCTCCCCCATTCCAGGAATTGCTAGAGTACATGAGAAAGCTGGAGGCCCGCCTGGAGAAGGTGGCAGATGAGAAATGGAATGATGCTGCCACAGAGGATGAAGAGGCCACTGCAGGGCTGAGTCTGTACCCCCCTATCTGTGACAACTCTTCCCCACTCCACTTTCCCCTGTCAAGGACAGCTCTGTGTGACCCCTCTAGGGGAGCCTCTGCCTTCTAGGAGTTTTGCTTTTCCTTCCCAGACCTTGGCCCCTGCTCAATGTAACTGTCCCTCACCCCGAGAAGGTAGAGCCCATCCCATCCCCTGACAACGCTTCTTTCTCTGCTGCTTCCTCTCACACAGGCTGCCCGGCAGCTCTGACAGACTCAGAGGATGAGTCCCCAGAAGATTCAAGGCTCCCTCCCTATGGCCTGTGTGAGCATGGGGATCCCAGCTCTCCTGCTGGGCCACGAGAGGCTTCTGCCCTGGTTGTCATCAGCCAGCCAGCTCCCATTGCTCCCCATCTCTCAGGGCCTGCAGAGGACAGTAGCTCCGGCTCGGTGAGCAGTAAGGGGAGTGTGAGGAGGAGCAGAGAAGCAACTGGGTCCAGACCCGGGAGGCCAGAGCCTTATGAGGCTCTTTTTCCTTAGAGAATAAAAGGCAGGCCCAGCCTCTCTTCAAGGCCACTGACAGAAACCACCCCAAAACCCAGTCTGCCCAGTAGCCTCACTGCTCCCAGCCTCTACCCCCCCCACCTTCATTGTCTTATCCTCCAGCCCCTGCCGAACACCTGTTTGGCCTAACTCCTCCAGCCCTTCTGCTCTCTCCCCAGCCTCAGCTGCCCTTCCCTTACCTGTCCCAGTGTGCTGCTCCCCCCATCTTGGAACAGCACCCCAAAACCCAATCTGTCTCTTTGGTGCCCAGGAGGCTGAAGATGAGAAATCAGTCCTGATGGCAGCTGTGCAGAGAGGAGGTGAAGAGGCCAGCTTGCTGCTTCCTGAACTAGGCAGTGCCTTCTATGACATGGCCAGGTGAGCGCAGCTGGGGAGTGGGAGGGAGGGAGGTGGGAGGAAGACAGTGGAAAAGGGTGTCTGGGTGAACAGTCACCAGTCACCATGCCCTGCCCCCAGCCTCCCTTGTCTTGGCCTCAGCCAAGGAAAGGAGATATAGGTATGGTTGACACAGAAAATGACCCATCGCTCCAAAGCCCAAGTGCCTTCAGGTAATCCCTCCACGTATCTTATCAAAGCCTTCAGAGGCCCTGCCTTTAATTGGCTTCTGTGTTGTTCTAGCATCATCCTCCACGGAGCCCAAATTGCCCTGCATCCCCTTTCTTCTGTCCCTATCCCCTCCCCAGCCATCAGGTAGGTACCTAGGCTCCTCACGGGACAGGGACGGGACGAAGGGAGGTACCAAGGTCCCAGGGATGGGAACAGAGAGAAGACTGGGATCCAGCATCCACCTAGCTATGCCTCAGATGCCACCCTCTCCCCTGACTTCCCCCAGGCACCCTTTGGAGGGGAAACAATGGAGACGGGGGATTCAGATGTCAGATGGCCCCCTTCTGCCTCCCCTTGTCTTCCCTGGTCAAGAGGGCCAGCCCAGGGAAGAGAGATTTCATCGTCTAGCCCCCAGCTTTGCCTGGATGTGAGATGGGCTCAGGGCAGGAGGGGGTGATGCTGTCATCCTTCCTGGCTGGAGCAGGAAGATGAAGGACGATGTCAGGCTCATTTTCAGCCTCATTAGGCAGCAGACGGAGATGGAGGGAAGAGAGCAGGAGGTGGGGGATGGGCCGTGCATTACAGAGACCAGCAGGGACTAAAGAGAGGACATGGGGAACTGGAAGGCCGAGGCTTCCGGTATTGTGAGGAGAAAGAAGCTGTAGGAGAGGCTGGAAGAGAGAAAGACCAGGATGCTGCATTTGGAGCAGGTTAACCTGGGAACCCAGGCAGCAGGGTCCTCCCTGAGTCCTGTAAATCAATCGTCTTTTTATCCCCCTTGTCTCTGTAGTGGCTTTGCAGTGGGTTCTGTGTCAGAGGCCAGCACTGGGGGCCCTGCCACCCCGCCATGGAAGGAGTGTCCTATCTGTAAGGAGCGCTTCCCTGCCGAGAGTGACAAAGATGCCCTGGAGGACCACATGGATGGACACTTCTTTTTCAGTACCCAGGACCCCTTCACCTTTGAGTGATTCTCTCCCCTCCCTAGCGCACACACATGCACACTTACATGCACACACACTCATGCACAGATGTACGCTAAAGTCTCATGCCTATACTCCACCACTCTGGACTCCACGATATTCTGTTTCCTAAGAACCACTTCTGTGTAGCCAGTTTCATCCCAAGTACTCTAACTTCATCCTCTCCTCCCTGGCTCTTTGTCCCAGGCAAGTGGCTGAATTTGCTCCTGAAAGCAGTTTTGGAGGAGCCCCTCCCTAGTGGAAATAGAGTCATCCACTTTTATCCCTGATTGCTTCTGATATTCACACAGCCACCACGCACACACTCACACGCCCTCCTCTCTGATGCCTGAAGCCAGTTCCTGGGGCACCCCGCCCTCTCTTGTTTGGGCTGGTGTTTTACCTGAGTTTTCTCTGGGTCCTGCATAGAGGCAGCATTGCGGACATCGCAACCTCTTCAGGTCTCTCTTGGTTCCCAGCTTCATTGGTTTCTCCTTCTGTCCCCCATCGCCTTCTGCACCCCACCTCAACCTTTTCCATTAGCCTTAGATACTAAGTTTGGAGGTTTCTTTAGAGTTTTTAAGGATTCCTGTACTCTGTCTCCTGCCACTGCCACCACCTCCTCCCCAAACCCCCATATCCTCACACGGAAAGAAATAATGTATTTGTGCCTTCTGTGAGGGGTGGGGGGACCAGCGGTCCCAGGTGTCCCCGTTTCCCAGCCCCTCCTCCCTTTCTAGGTCCCCCCCACAGCAATAAGAGCTTCCCCCAGATACCCTTCCCCTCCGTCTGTAGTTCGGGCAATATATTTATATGATATGTGTAACTGTTGTTTTAAGCTGTCTTTTTCTCATCAAGTGTGACTAGAGCAAATAGGGCCCAGGCCCCTGGCTCTTGACCCTGGTGGAGGAGAGGAGGGTGGAGGGGGTCTCGTCTCTGCCTCATGGGGAAGGATGTGGGCAGTTATGTCCCCCTCATGCCTCCTGGGGTGCTGGCCCCAGTGGGAAGAGGGAGAGCCTTAGTCTCAGTGGGAGGCCTGGCTTGGAGAACACTGCCCTGGGGGTCTGCGTGGGCTCTCCCCCAGGGGTAGCTGCCTGCCATGGAGGCAGAGGTGAGGTTTCCACTGCCCAGACCTTCACCCTCCATGGCAGGAGTCAAAGGACAGACATTTCTTCTGTCAACAGTACATACCTTTTAAGTATCCACTTAGGAAAAACTCTCCTAAGCCCTGTACCTCTAAAGTAAAATAAAATAAAGATATTATTTTCCTTCTACCCCTGCCGCCCACCCACCCTCCCCCTGTTGCCGTCCTCACACACCCACACGCACTCTGCCTCCACAGTCGCAAACACATTCATCCACCAGCAGCTTCGCAGGCTGGGCAGACGCAGACCTGCACCAGAAAGCGCTGGCTGAGGACCTGCCGCTCACCCGGGCGCTCAGCCAGGCC